GCAGGAAGTCTTCTTCCAAGAACTGGCTCCTCTTAACAACATGCTCAATATGTATGAGACAAAGTTACATCATCCTTGTCTCTAAGGAGCACCTTGGTGACACGACTTCCAAGACAGATTCATTTGTTCTTTAGGAAGTCCAAGGCATTCCAATATTTTAACCAAGACCACCATTCAAAGGCATCACTTCTTTGTCATCTTCATTATTCATTATCCAACTTTCAGATGCATATAAAACAATTAACAATTCCGTGGCTTAACTCAGGCACATCTTAGAGTTTAAACTGACATCGTTGTTCTAGCTCTTTAAAGAGAATTTTCACAGCAGATTGACATACAAGGTAACTTAAAGAAAGTGATGCCACGCCTCAGAGTAGAGCTAAAGAGCTATGCTCTATAGAGTATTTGGTGGTGAATTCATTAGAAGGCAACCCAGGGTGGACTCCTATCTTCCAGTTAGTAGTCTCTTTTATAGACTCTGAAAGAATGTTTAAAGATCATCTAATTTAACCTATCATTTTATAGATTGAGAGGGTGGGACCCAAAGTAGTTAACAAGTCATAAAGGGGGTTTGGAGTATGGCAGGGACAAGAACTCCCACAGGTCTAACAGCCAATTCCGTGGTCTCTGGATGAAACTTCGTATGTGGCCAGAGGCAGAAGACAAGCATTATGAGGAACTCCAGGTGATTCTTACATCACATTTGTTCTTTGGGTTGACCCAAGATAACAAATATGCATTGGCCCTCAACTGTAGAATATCTTCTTAGAAATTTAAGAAATTCTATTCTTGGCAGTTCAGTGAGGCTTGGAGGGTTGAGTGCTGTAGGAACATGATTGAATTTAGTTAACCTAAATTCTTTTAAAATTGTTGACTTATTTAATTTTCACACATCAGGTCTAATGAGGACAAGAAAGAAATGTCCCATGTCTTTCTGAACTCTTCCAGGAAACTTACCTCCAAATGGGGATTAAGGCTTGGAAAAGTAAATATCCCCTCCCGCAAGCCAGTTTTGAAAGGCCTGCTAATGAGACTGTATGGTGCATGCTTCACCACCTGAATCCCTCACAACCTCTGGTCTGTGAGGTAGTATGGACTGGCATGGACGATTAAAGCCTGTAAACACCACTGACCTTTTTATTCCATTCCTTTCGTTTCTGACTTTATAAGTCTGTTTCTATTTAGTTATGCTTTGGGTTTGGTTTTTTTGTTGTTGTTAATTTTGTTTGGTTGGTTTTTTGCTGCCTAGGTTATCTATGATGGCTCCATTCTGCTGAATAACCTCAGTTTCCAATGACTTAACTCGGTTTACTGTTGCAATTGCTAAAATTTGAGCAAGGACAGCCTCTTGAGACAGCAGGGCGCCACTAGGAACAATTCCCTAAGGCTGATCTGAGCTCTAAAGGGCAAAA